GGGATGTTGAGGGTAGGGAGGTGTGTGCGAATACTCTAAGGCAGGTCAACATAATTAAGAAAGAAGTGTTGGATGGTTTCAGATACATTAATGTAGACAAATCCCCAGGGCCAGATGGGATCTATCCCAGGATACTGTAGGAAGCAAGGGAGGAAATAGCTGGGACCTTAAGAGATGTCTTTGCATCCACTTTGGCCTCAGCCAAGGTTCCTGAGGACAAGAAAATGGCCAATGTTGTTTCTTTGTTTAAGAAGGGAAAGAGATAATCCAGGTAATTACAGGCCAGTGAGCCGGATGTCAGTAATGGGGAAGCTATTAGAAAAGATACTGAAAGACAATTTATTCACATTTGGAAGCGAATGGACTTGTTAGTGATAGGCAACATAGGTTTGTGTTGGAAAGATCATTTCTCACCAACTGAATAGAGTTTTTTGAGGAGGTGACAAGAGAAGGGCAGTGGATGTTGTCTACATGGATTTTAGTAAAGCATTTGATAAGGTACCTCATGGCAGGCTGGTACAGAAGGTAGAGTCTCATGGGATCCAGTGTGGCCTCGCGAGATGGTTTCAAAACTGGCTTAGTCATAGAAGACAGAGAGTAGCAGTAGAAGGGTGCTTTTCCGAATGAAGATGACACTAAGATGAGTGGCAGAGCAAAGTGTGCAGAGGACTGTGAAACTTTGCACAGGAACATAGATACATTGAGTGAGTGGGCAAAGGTCTGGCAGATGGAATACAACGTAAATAAATGTGAAGTCATACATTTTGGTAGGAGTAATAGTAAAAAGGATTATTTCTTGAATGGTAAAAAGTTGCAGCATGCTGCTATGCAGAGGGACCTGAGTGTCCTTGTGCATGAATCACAGAAGGTAGGTCTGCAGGTACAAGTAATTAGGAAGGCAAATGGAATTTTGTCCTTCATTGCTAAAGGGATTGAAATTAAAAGCAGAGAGGTTATGTTGCAGCTGTACAAGGTGCTGGTGAGGCCACACCTGGAGTACCATGTGCAGTTTTGGTCTCCTTACTTGAGAAAGGATGTACTGGCACTGGAGGGGGTGCAAAGAAGGTTCACTAGGTTGATTCCGGAGTTGAGGGGGTTGGCTTATGAGGAGAGACTGAGTAGATTGGGATTATATTCATTGGAATTCAGAAGATTGAGGGGGGATCTTATAGAAACATATAAAATTATGAAGGGAATAGATAAGATAGAAGTAGAGAGGATGTTTCCACTGGCAGGTGAAGCTAGGACAAGAGGGCATAGCCTCAAGATTAGAGGGAGCAGATTTAGGACGGAATTGAGAAGGAATTTCTTCACCCAGAGGGTTGTTAATCTATGGAATTCCTTGCCCAGTGAAGTAGTTGACGCTACTTCAGTAAACGTTTTTAAAGAAAAGGTAGATTTTTTTTGAACAATAAAGGAATTAAGGGTTACGGTGAGAACGCGGGTAAGTGGATCTGAGTCCACGAAGAGATCAGCCATGATCTTATTGAATGGCGGAGCAGGCTCGAAGGGCCAGACGGCCTAGTCCTGCTCCTAGTTCTTATGTTCTTATGTAAGATCAGTAACTAGTGGTGTTCCACAGGGATCAGTGCTGGGACCTTTGATGCTTGTAATATATATAAATGATCTGGAGGAAGATGTATGTGGTCTGATTAGTAAATTTGTTGATGACACCAAAATTGGCAGAGTAGCAGACAGGGAGGAGGACTGTCAAAGGATACAGCAGGATAGATGGTTTACATATTTGGGCAGAGAACTTGCAGATGGAATTGAATTGAGACAAATGCGAGGCAATGCATTTTGGAAGATCAAATTCATAGACATACAGAGGATCTGGGCATACAGGTCCACAGATCCCTGAAAGTGGATAAGGTGATCAAAAAGGCATACAGCATGTTTGCCTTCATTGGCCGGGGCATCAAAGATAAAAGTTGGTAAGTTATGCTACAGTTATATAAAACATTATTTAGGCCAAATTTGGAATATTAAGTGCAGTTCTGTTCGCCATACTACTAGAAGGATGTGGATACTTTGAAGGGGGTGCAGAGAGGTTTACCAAGACGTTGCCTGGTCTGGAGGGTTTTAGTTATGAGGAAGGGTTGGATAAACTTGGATTGTTTTCACTGGAACAACAAAGGCTGAGGGGCCTTTGATAGAGATCTACAAAATTGTGAGAGGCATAGATAGGACAGATAGTCAGAGGCTTTATCGCAGGGTGGAAAAATCAACTACAAGAGGACACAGGTTCAAGGTGGAAAATTTAGGGGAGAAGTGCAGGGAAACTTTTTCACACAGAGGGTGGTGTGTGCCTGGAACGCACTGCCAGTGGAAATGGAGGAGGTAGGCACATTAGCAACATTTAAGGTGTATCTTGATAGACACATGAACAGGAGGCAAACAGAAGGATAGAAACTGCACATGGGTGATAAGTAGCGGGTCTAATTAAGGACTAGGAATCGACACAGGCTTGGTGGACTATAGCACCTATTCCTGTGCTATACTGCGTTGTATGTTTCAATAAACTATAATTCCAATGACCACAGCAGTGGTTGATAACAGCCTAATCTCCGCTAAATTATAAATCCATCTTTAAAGATCTATATATTTGTTGCCAGTCCGCGTGAAATATGGATTTAATATAAATGATCAGGTAACTTCTGACTTTAAACATTAACTGAAATTATGCATGAACATTAATTAATTAAGGTTGTTAGATGGAAGTTATCTGAACTTGAATTATACTAACTCATACTGCTGTAGCTTCAGAAATGTTAATGCTAGCCCTTCAGAAAAACATTTTAAATTGAAATGAAATGCAAAGCAATGCAGTTAATTAAGTTATCTATGTAGAATCCACAGTCAATCAATAACTGAAAAGATGTAACCAAATTCTTTAAAAACCCTTTGATCCTCAAGTATAGAAAGTTTTTTTCTACTTTTAAACATAAATCCTTCACAAAACATCCACAAAAACTATTTTGCATAAACATTGATGAAGCAAAAATCAAAGTGGATGATTTTAATTCCAAATATTTCTGAAATGTATAAACTCCAATTTTTCTGAAATGCTCATCACAAATGCTAGGTCGCACCAGATTTTAAATAAATTTGTGTACATGACATCCACACTTTACACTAAAATTTTGATGATGATCTGGGTCACTCCCCAGATCCGTAGTTAACCTTGACATTATGATGCTGATACTGTAACTGCTGGCTTTTGCATTCCACCACAAACTGAGGGTCCCAGCAAATTTCAGGGATATGTTGCCTTCACAATAATCAACATTATATTTACTGCAAGTCAGATCAAGGAAGTTCTAACCCATAATACTGATGAAGGGTGAGCCCAGTAGCTAATGGCATCCAAGAGTGTAACATTACATCATGCTTATCAGAAAAAATCCGGATCAATCCCTTGTCAATATCAGAAAATTTTTAATAGGGGCCCTTGCATTTTCTCTGCTTTTGTGTAATAAAGGAGCAGGGAGCACAGAAACAGAAAAATATTAGCTAAGGTTCTTACTTCTTATTTGTTTTCCATTAACATTTGAACCGTGCACATAAATATCAAGACAGGGTCATATTTTGATATGATGCATTCCACATATAATGCCATTTTGTGAACGATTACTGGACCATGCTTAAAAAATTACTAATCATTCACACATAAAGCGTGCCCTAGAGGTCCAAAGGTCCCTATAAAAGCAACCTCAAAGCATGTAGAATTTCATTTCCAGCAGATGCAATTTTAGTGCCATTGCCAAAGAATTAATTCTTCCCACAATTTACTGTTAATAATAAACTTTCAGAGGCAGCTTTGCATTTGCAGCCAAAGTAAAATGACCACCAATTAATTATTCGGCTGTTATCTAGGTTGGATAAAGTTGCATTAGGAAAAACATTTAAGTTTTGCTGCATTGAGAGCAGGAGGTAAAAAGGGCTGTTTCAGCTTTGATTTTTAACTTTCCAGGTGAACCATGTTAGATCATGATTGTGGTCAGATTAAAATTAATAATTTATTAAAACTCATTCTTCCATCAGAATGCAATCACAGAAAGGTAAAAGCATGGAACTGGGCAGAGTGAACAATAAGAGATACCAACACAAAAAGGATTATGCATAAATTGAGCATTCATTGTAGCTAATGTAACAACTGAAGCAAATCATTAACACTCCATACAATAGCCAAAAAACACTTCTCAACATGCAATTTAATTTCCTGTATGTAGCATTCAGCTAGATTTTGTTTCTCTTCACTCACAGGATGCATGATCATTATTGCTAGGTCATCATTCATTGCCCAACAGTAATTAAGAGTCAGCCACATTGCTGTGAGTTGAGGGACATGGAGGCCAGACCAGGTAGTAATGACATCTTTTCTTCCCTAAAGGACATTAGTGAGTCTAGATGGGTTTTTCTAACAGTCGGCAAAGATTTCATGGTCATTATTAGATCCTTAATTCCAAAATCTTCTTTTGAATTCCGATTCCACCATCTGCTATAGCAAGATTTGAATCCAGGACCTCAGAGCATTAGCTGAGATTCTGGATTAACAGTATAGCAATAATACTACTAGCCCATTACCTCCCCATGTGAACAAGACAGTTAACCAAATGTTATATACCTGACGCATTTAAACTCGGAACATCCAACAATTTGTGCAGATAATCAAAGATAACCTAACTTTCATTTTCACTATTTGCAAAAGATTTAACCTTAAACTAAAACAACAAAACCATGGGGCTGTGAAACTTGAAGGCATTTTATACCATACCATGAAAACAATAAATTTAGATTGTAAGACTGTGTGGACATCTGACAAAGACTGGCAAAGACCAGTACAAAGTTTTGTTCTGATACATACTCCAGCAAAATAATTCCTTGAAAATGTGGAGCTATAATAGAAAAATGATTTAGTGAGCTTGGCTCTGTATTCTGTTATATTTCAGATCTGATTGATTCTACTGTCCAACTGAAAATCAAAAACTCAAACTTACCTGTTGAGCCAATAGACCAAGTGACATTTAAATTGAAATTGTTTGATGCATTGATGGACAAGTCAAGATCTTTATTTGTCTGCACAAAAAAAAAGTTGCAGGTTACTTGGAGAAACCTTTGATATCAAAGCAGAAAAAAATTTCAATATCAAAAATATGGGTCTTTGAGAGACTTATAGAAAAGTATAAAATAATTGCTAATGTCTTGAGAGACATGACTAAATCAGCATTATTAATATTATACACCATTATTTACCTGAAGCATACATTGTAATTGGTAAATTTTAATGAAAAACATAATCTGTTTTAGTACAAGTTACTTGAAACAAACTTACAGCCAGATAATCCGCTGAAGATTCACTTTTAAATTTAGCAGTAATCCTTTACAAATTAAATTCATGGCTTGTGGAACATGCAGATCACAAGCTAAAATCATTCAGAAGCAGCAGGATTCTCCAGATTTGAAAATGAAAACATCACAGAATACAAACTTAAACACTATTAACTTTGCAAATAAAACATTGCTTTCATAATAAACAAAATTGCGAGTTCATACAAACAGCATCAAACATGCACTCGCCCTACAAAACTGTTATTTGCTCAGGTACTAGAGTTCATGCACCCTAGAGCTGAGGCATTCATCTCTAACACAAAGACATGAAAGAGTTGAACATATCTTGAATATATGTGGATGGGGGACTTGGGGGGAGGGGAAAGGTGTAAAGGTGGTGACAAAAGGGAAACCTATCTTTCATGTGTATGCAATTTGTCCGAGTTGGGTGCTTACGTTTAATTTAAATGGTTAATTTAACTCTGTTTGAGCTATAAAGTAAAACAACACAATTTGCAAAAATAACTCAAAACCAATCAAAATAGAATTAGAACAGGAATAGAAATGCTTCCCAATATGTAAATGGAAACTCTTGTCACAATAAAAACCAAAAGAGGATATTCTGAGGAAGGGTCACCAGACCTGAAACATTAACTCTGATTTCTCTTCACAGATGCCACCAGACCTGTTGAGCTTTTCCAACAATTTTTACTCGTCACAGGAATGTGAAAGCAAATGAAGGCTCAAGGAAAAGCTGCCAATAGCAAGAATGTGCAAAATCTATACATATGTAAAACACAAATTATCTTTGCTCACCAACATCATTTATAAGCATCATGCTTTGAGAAAATGCAATGCGATTTTAAGGAATAACTTGGAAAGAACATCCCAGTTTACAACATTCCCTTAGATAATCGGTAATTAAACTCAATGACAAGAAGCTCCGCCAACTTAATGATGACTCTTGTGATCTTAAAGGAATTCACTTACATTTTACCCGTAGATTTACAGGTTGTACATGACTTGGTACAATTCTTCTGCTTTACAAAACAGTGTATCACCACCATGAGAAATATCAAAGAAGATCCACGTGCATGTGAATCTTACATTTGAAATGTCACAATTTGTTACAAATGCAAAATAATCTTGAACAAAAGAAACATATTCTTGGGTCCTTTTTTTCCTCATGAGCAGCCATGGATTTTCAAGAGGTGCGATCTACAAAATACAATTACTCTCCAATTTCTTTATATGGGGATGACCTTGAGACCCTGCAACATTGACGCCAGAACACTGGTTGCCCAACATCTACAATAAAGAGCCATCTACCAGCTTTTCTCAGTTTACGAATCAGTACTCCTCCAGGTTGAGCAACACTTGGTAAAAGCACTGAGGATTGCAGCATAGTCTACATGGCACACTTTCATCTTCAACACCAAGACTAACACCACAATGTATTACCATTACACATCCAGAGGGCGGTGCTGAGAAGTGACCGAGGACGACTCTGGAAGGAGTTGGGTCAGTCACCAGTGACCGCCCAGGAACAAATAAAAGGGAGACAACTTTAACGGAGCAGCATTTTGAGACGGGCTGCTTTGGGATTCAAGTGCTACTGGAGGTTTTAAGTGTGGGCTTTAGTGAATACAGGTCTTTGATGAGGAGGGCAAGCAGCAACAAAATAAGGACAAGGTAAGATTCAGTTCTTCGTCTTACTGTGAAGGGTCACAGATGGCAATTAGGGCAGTACAATGCTCCTCCTGCCAGATATGGGAGATCAAGGAACAGTCCAGTGTCCCTGACGACTATATCTGCAGGAATTATGACCAGCTGCAGCTCCTCACAGACCACATGTTTCAGATGGAACAGCAATTGGACACATTGCAGAGTATACAAGGTACAGAGAGTGTGATAGACACTATTAACAGTGAAGTGGAGACACCACAGGTACAGTCAGCCAGATATGTGACCGCCAGGAGAAGCAGGCAGGTAGTGCAAGAGTCTCCTCTGGTTATTCCCCGCTCAAACAGGTATATAGTTTTTGGATACTGCTGAGGGGCATAGCCTCGCAGGGGAGAACAGCAGCAGCATCCAGGTCTGTGGCACCACGACTTGCTCTGCTGTAGACCGGGGTCTGGCAAAGTCTAAATGAGCATTAGTAGTAGGAGACTCATTAGTCAGGGGCACAGACAAGTGTTTCTGTGACTGCGATCGAGTCTTCAAGACGGTGTGTCGCCTCCCTGGTGCCAGAGTTAAGGAAATCTCTGCGCGGTTGTATGAAATTCTTAAGGGGTGGGTGAGCAGCTAGAGGTCATTGCACACATTGGTACCAACAACATAGGTAGGAAAAAGAATGAGGTCCTGAAGCCTGATTATAGGGAGTTAGGCAGAAGGTTAAAATGCAAAACCTCAAGGATAGTAATTTCTGGACTAGTTCCAGTGCCACATGTTAGTGAAAGTAGGAATAGGAGAATTTGGCAAATGAATGAGTGGCTTGAGAGCTGATGCAGGGGTCAGGGATATAGATTCCTGGATCATTGGGATCTCTTCTGGGGTAGAGGGACCTGTACAAGAGGGACAGGTTGCACCGGAACTGGAGGGGGACCAATATCCTGTTTTGGAGATTTTCTCAGGAGGATTTAAACTAGTCTGGTAGGTGGGTGGGATCCAAAGCAGTAGGGAGACAAAACAGCAGGTTGAGCACAGTATAGAAGCTAATGAGAGCAAGTTAAATCATAAAAGCAGCATTGGTAATCCTAGTACTACACAGGGCAGGCAACAGCATGACAGGACACAAGGGAATTTTGGTTAAACTGCAATTATTTCAATGCAAGAGGCTGGCAGGTAAGGCAAATGAATTTGGGGCATAAGCGGGTACATGGCACTGGGATATTATAGCTATTACAGAAACATGGTTGAGTGACAACAGGACTGGCATTGCAATGTTCCAGGCTATAGGAAGGATAGAAGGGGAGGCAAGAGAGATGGGGGAGTTGCATGTTTGATTAGGGAGAATACCACAGCAGTACTGACAGTGGACATTCTTGAGGGTTCATCCACTAAGTCTATATTGATAGAACTGAACAATAAAAAGGTGGAGATCACTTTGATAACATTGTACTATAGGCCACTAATAGCCAGCAGAAGATAGAGGAGCAAATATGAAAGGAGATTGCAGATAGCTGCAAGAAAAATAGGGTTGTAATAGGGGATTTTAACTTCTTAATGTCGACTGGGACGGCAATAGTGTTGAAGGCTTGGTTGGAAGAGAAATTTCTTAAGCATGTTCAGGAAGAATTTCTCATGCAGGACAAACCAACCAAAGACACACACAAATTCCTAGAGGCCTGGTACTCAACCCAGAAATCCATCAACAAACATGTGGAAATAGACCCTATATACCAACCACTGTGAAGCAGGACCAGAAATGAGTCCAACCACCACATCAAACCGGACCACATAAATAACAAGCGGGACAGACCAACAACGCTTCATCGGAGGCGTACTGATGATGTTACCTAGTCTGCTGACAAAATATCTGTAAACCAGCCTACCAGCTCAGTGAACAAATCAACAACCCCTTCTCATGTAGTATGTAGATGGCCTATGATCCTCTATTCTATGAATACTACAGAAGGGCAAAACTTGACCTCCTCTTAGGAAATAAGGCAGTAGAAGTGATGGAAATGTTAGTGAGGGAACATTTTGGAACCAGTAACCATTATTCAACTAGTTTTGAAATATCTATGGGAAGGGATGGTTCATAAGTTAAAAGTTCTAAATTGGGGCTGGACCAATTTTAATGGACTTAGACAGGATCTTTCAATAGTTTACTGGAGGAGGCTGTTTGCAGGCAGTGGGATGTCTGGTAAGTGGGAAGCTTTCAAAAGTGAGTTAATGAGGGTTCAGGGCCAACATGTTCCTGTTAGAGTGAAGGGTAAGGCTGGCAGGAGTGGGGAACCCTGGATGCCTAGAGTTATTGAAGCCCTGCTTAAGAAAAAGGAGGAATATGATATGGAAAGGCAGCTGAAATCAAGTGAATGCCTTAAGGAGTATAGAGGGTGTCATAGTACACTTAAGGGAAAAATCAGGAGGGGTAAGTTGGGACATGGAATGGCTTTGGCAGATAAGGTAAAGGAAAATCCAAAGGGATTCTACAAGTACATGAAGGGCAAAAGAATAACTCGGGAGAGAATAGGGCCTCTTAAAGATCATCAAGGTTGTCTGTGAGCGCAGCCACAAGAGATGAGTGAGATCCTAAATTAATATATCTCACCAATATTTACCATCAAGAAAGACATGGATGCTAAGCAATTTGGGGAAATAAATACTTCTGTCTTGAATAGAGTCCACATTACAGAACAGGAGATGCTGGAAGTCTTAAAGATTAGTAAGGTAGATAAATCCCCAGGACTGGATGAAGTCAGGACGTCGTGGGTGGCTAGGGAAGAAATTACGGGAACCCTAGATATTTGTATCATCAACAGCCACAGGCGAAGTGCCCAAAAATTGGAGGGTTGCTGATGCTGTGCCATTATTTAAAGAATGGCTGCAGGGAAATACCTGGGAACTACAGACTGATGAGCCCAACATCAGTGGTGGATAAGTTGTTAGAGGGAATTCTGACTTACAGGATCTACAGGCATTTGGAGAGGCAAAGACTCATTTGGGACAGTCAGCATAGCTTTGTGCATGAGAAATTGTGTCTCACAAATTTGAGCGAGTTTTTTTGAAGGGTGATCAAGAAA